AGTCATACTAATCTCTCCAGAATCGCAGATTACAGTTAGTAGTTACACTTCAAACTATTAAGGATAGTCTACCATCAGGGAGTGTCAGAATGTCCCAGAAGCACAAATGAGCGTGAGGATTGTGCAGTCATAAGAGTCCACTTCTTCACCAACAACATCGTTAGCACTGATTCGACACCATTTACCACCTTTCAGAAGTGGCAAGCTGGAGTGTGACCAACTGGAAGCGTGATCTTCAGCGATGAATCCTGATTCAGTCTCAGTGCTGATGGCCAATGCACTCACATGTAGAGGTGGCCAGGCCAGCAGTCCGATCTGGCATTAGTGGTCACGCGATTACACAAGGTGTGACAGTGTGTGCGTGGGGGGGGGGTTGATTTGTTGAGAGACATGATCACCTCTAGTCATCCTTCAAGTGTGTATGACAGCTCGTAGTTACGTGGACGACATTTTAACGCCGGTTGTACTGCCTATGATATCAAGTCGCCCAGGTGCTATTTATCAGCAAGACAACACTCATCCACATACTGTGACTCTTCCAGCAGGTCTTCAAGTATATGGCATACTCCTGTGGCCTGATACCAGACCTCTCGCCAACAGAGTACGTTTGTGACATGCTTGGAAGGCAACTGCAGCCGTCCCGAAATATTGATGAATTAACTGCCCAGTTGCAAAGACTATGGCATGATCTTCCGCAGGGGTTCATAGTTGTCCTACTTGATTCGATGCCGTGGCGTATTTCAGCTTGAATAGCTGCCAAAAGTGACTATACTACTTACTGATTTGTAACATTTTTCATGCCATAACTTGTTAATAAAATGATTTTTTGTTCTGAATTGATAATCATTTGTTTATCTCGTCATACACTACATACATGCTAAGTTTCATAATAGTAGTTCATTTTCTTCTGGGTGCACATGTTTTTTTTTTTTTTTTTTACAGAGTGTATATTAATGGCATGGACCATTTGGGCAACTTTATTGCAATGTATATAGTGTGCAAATAAAAAGTAAGAAAGGGGGTGGCTTATATTTACCAATTTTATTGATGTAGCTAAATCAAATGCATGGAAACTTTATAAGATTGCTGTAGATCCCAATATTTCCATGTTAGATTTTTAAAGACGTGCTCTGCTGGCATTGCTGAACAGAAGAGAAGAATATTTTGAAAATTCGCAGCCTTCATCTTCATATACTGATTTAGCCTTAAGAAAATGAAAAAAGATCCAATTAATCACATTACCCAGAAAAATTCAACAAACAAAAGTAAAAGATGTAAAAACTGTGGTAATTAAATTGTAACCATATGTAATAAATGCTATGTGCAAATGTTTCAAAGATTTCCAAGTGTCCTCCAAAAAGAACGGTTTTGACTGATGTTTCATTTTTTTGCAACATTTTGTATCTTCAATAAAAATAAATACTTTTTTGCCCAGTGACATTCTTTCACTTAATTAGACTAATATGTCATAAAAATGATTTTTTTGTTCATTTCCTTGAAGTGAAAGGTAGTGCGGTTGTTAATGAGTTAATGAACAGAAGAAAAGTTGCAGCAGTTAGTTAAGTAGTGCAAGGAGTCTTCTTGACTTTTATGTTGAGAGCTGTATTCTTAGAGAGGAGAAGGCAGATCATGCAAAATTTATTCTTGCATTCTGCATAATAATGTGTTTTAACATGTTCCAGTGGAAGCCATAACAGAGTTATTGCATATAAAAATAAATTAATTTGGGGTAATTTAATTATTCCCAGGAAAATTGAAATCTCTTTCGTGAAAAATAACAAAAACATACAAGATGCTAGAAAAATGAGATTTTGAATTCTCAAGAAAGGAAATTCTAAACAAGACTAAATCAGTTTTTCATTCTATTATAATACAGATTGAGAAATGCAGGGATATTCTTGCTTATATTGGCTATTGGCATTGTTTAGTAGTGTACGTGGAATTATTTTATGTGTTTGAAGCTTCAAATCATGTTGAAGTTATTTTAATGGGGGATGTAGCATTTTGTTTCATATTATTGAAGTACAGTTTGTAACCCAATGCTCAGAGTAAAGTAAATACAAGAAATTTTAGTTAGAGACTAAATGGCAGTTTAGTTTTGCCATTGTGAATAAACTAGTATTCATAATTTGCAAAGATATGGTAACTGAACTTATATATATATAAGTTATATATGTAATATATTAAGTGTGCAGTCATAAATCCGGTACTTTTAACCTTCCAGCATGCACGTATGTGCAAAATTTACGACAAATTCAGTTTTTAATGCACATTTTCCGCATATTGAAGCTGAGACGTATAAAGGTCATTTCTATTCCTCTTTTCTACCCTTCCCCACATCATGAAATGTGCCAACAGGAAGTCATTTAACCTTTATTTATTTATTTATTTTTAACTGGGCTTTTGTGCTACATGGCAGCTTTTTCATAAAAGTTACAACACGCGGGTGGTCATGTTTTAAAATTCGGAAAATATATTTTTTCTCAAATATTTTGTAATTTTGTGTTATTAATTGCTGTGTATTATTTTAATTTGAATACATTTGGCTTTGTAAATTTTATATCGTTTTTTCATGGGGGGGGGAAATGTGCAACCAGCTGATTTTGCTCGGATTCTTCAAGAATTATTTGATGAAGAAAACAAAGACAAGATAACCTTTGGATGGGAGAACAATAGCGATTTCGATTCCTTATTTTCTTTTATTTCTACTTCTTAGAAATAAATAAAAACATTAAAGTTGGTTTAAAGTGCGTTTTTGTAACCAGTAAGAAGTAAATTTCCTTGCAGAAGTAAGTAATGCTAAACTTACTTTTTTTCCTACCAAGGTGTTTTCCTTTTTATTTGTCTATACTTGTCCTTTGATGAATATTAAAAATTACCTTCGGTTTTTTAAAATGTAATTATTAAATAATAATTTTAAAATTTTCTATAATGAAATACATCATTGCATTTCCATCTCACTAACATAAGAACTTAAAAATAATTTACTTATATTTAAAATGTGATATAATTTGTATTTTGCAATAATAAGATTAATATTTTATTTCTTAACAAATTTATTATCAATACTAACTCGTTTCTGTCGTTTTTCATGCCAAAAATGGTAAAATAACAGATGTCGTAAAAAATACAACGTGCTCATGCTCATGTAAAATTGCCAAGCGCACGTGCTGGAAGGTTAACACCTGGGTGGATAAGGCAGGAATAAGACTTTGACAAAACTAAATTCAGCGGATCACCATCTTTATTTTTAGGAACATCAAAAATTAATTCTTTGACAGAACTTTTCAATCATAGCTGAATACAAATAATTTTTATATACACAGATGAAAAGCTAAGACCTCATATCAGGCAGGGAAGCATAAGCGACACAAAGTTTTTTGCGTGGCAGAAGTCGGATGGGAAAAAAGGAAGCATAGTGCTCGTGACTTCGTTGGGTCCAGAGAGTATTCTAAGCTGTGATTGATCAATATTAGTTTTAGTTATCTTTTTCAAGCAGGGTTATGTAATTTGGAATGATCTTGAATTTGGGAGAACAGATGAATTTAGGCGGAAGTGCACCGAATTCAGAATGTTACATTTTGAGGTTGCCAATTATTTTTTAAAACAGCCATCATATTTTGTTATATCTCATATATATAGAGAGATAGATAATGTGTGTGTGTGTATGATGATAAGATTTAGTAAGTAAAACACAGTTAAATTTATAAAAGATAAATACTTGACTAGGGAAGACATTATTTTGCAGTCTCGAGTGGCTTGACGGTTAGAAGATCACTGAAAATATAAATTACATAGCAGAAGACATTGGGAACTTTTGAAAAATTACAAAAATCACTTGATATTTCAAAATATACCTTTATTACTTGGAGAACAGATGAATTTAGGGGGAAGTCTTCACTTCACAATGGGGGGCCAATCCACACCCCACAATTTTGATGATGGCGCATTACATTTTTAACAAAAGCAGCCAAGCAATAGATGTCCTTCAGCCGCATAGGTAGAGGAAAAGGGAGGATATTAGGATTGCAACAGTATTTATAGTAAAATGTTTCATCAATCTGATTGGCTAAAACTCATAGGCAATTCAGAAATTTCAAGATGACATAATGTGTAATACGTTTTCAGATATACACAGTTTAGAGAAAGTTATTACTAGAGAAAAAGTACCCACATTAAAAATGAGCAATTAAGAGGCATTTTAAATTATAATTTTGATTTGCATTTTTTGTTATCTTATATATATATATGCAAGATAAAAAATATGAAAGCAAACTTCTAAATTTAATTCACTATAACCTCTTTTATTTTCTGTTTCATTTGGAAACTTCATCTATCTGTCCTAAAAATAGTGCTTAAGTCTAAACTGCATCATTCAAATTAATCATGCGATCTTACGTAACCGTTAATGCAGATGCCTCTTGACCAATCACCAAATTGCAAACCAAAACTTTTCTCTTCGCGTGCTTCCATCTTGCATAACTATGCACTTCAGCTTTGCTCTCTACTGTGCTAAGATGTAATTTCGCTGACTTGCTTTTCTATCTTAACAATATCAAAAATGTAAATCTTCTGTGGAAAGGCACAGCTAGAGTGCCAAGTGATTGTGGCGACAAATTTCAATTGCAAATAAAAATGGAATTAAAACTGCCATGACTGCCAAGTTCTTTACATGCTACGCAATCAAAATTCTTCTTCAATATGGATCTAAGCTCGCATCGACAATGCTCCGGCTTTTCCTTCTGCTCTTAATATTACATAGTATATATATGGTAAGGGAAGCTAACATTATGATTGAGTTGCAGAATCAAGTACTTGTTTTCGCTCCAGTGATATATCTTGGTTAAATTTACTACCTCACTGAGAAAACAGTACCAGAACTAAAAGCTGTGATTGAAAGCTACGGTAAAAAAGTATTACTGCAGGTTCAGTGTATTTTGCTACTATTCTAATATGCAAAGATTTTTATGTATTTGTAATGTTTTTATATGTTTATTTAGGTATATGAAGAAGTGAACAATTGCTGTCATGCATTATCAGAAAAACTTGGATCTCAGAAATTCTTTTTTGGAGACACGTAAGATTTACTTCATATTTCTGCTTTTCACAATATTTACTTAACCTTTTGAGGCCAGGGCTTTAGTAGCAGTAAAAGCCTTGAAGGGCGGGGAATCTTGAACCGAATGCTTCCCTCCCCTTTAAGAAATCACCTCCTATTTGCAACAAAGATTCTTGTGTGTAGTTTAATGGATTCTCAGAGGGGTGCATCTATGTCGCAAAAGGAAGTGAAGTGTAGGGATTAGTGACCAGACTTTAAGATGCTTTTTGTCACTGAGAGAAAATTTCATATTACAGTTGTTCCGGATTGAGACTACTGGGAAATGTGTAAACCTCCGTTGAAGAAAATGCCATTCTTTACATTATAGGACATTACTTTCGCTTTTATAAAATTTAGGTTTTAATTTTAAATTACACTGCAAAACTATGTGTCTTTACTAAGTGCTTACAATAATTATTTATATCGTATCTTTATATTAATGTTATGTCAAAAAATATTTCAACTATTTGATTATTTCCATAGACAATTTAAAATTTAACCAGTCTCCTCTCATTTTTTTTTTTTTTTTTTTTTTTTTTTACTATTTAATGTCCTTATAATTTTTAATTTGTTTTGGTATTATTTATAAAATATAGCTATATCTTTGAACTTTTTCCATACAGGGAATAATTAAAAAATAAATGCTTAAAGCTATAGCAATGATTAAAAATTAGATTAAAAATTAGAAATGATTAACAGTTCAGTGGAACTGTTAAAATTGTGCTCTATAGACGTAATGAAATTTTAATTTTACACAATTGTTCAAAATCTCCCTGCTAACTTGATAACATACTATTTAAGGAAGAAACTTTCAGCAAATTAGAATATAACTGGTTTAATTAAAAATTATTTTATTTTATTGTAGACTGTTAGTACTGCAATGTCCAACTACATAAGTGCTACTAATTAAAATTCAGTTCTTTTCCAAATTTAATGCATAATAATACAGATGCTCAAAAACTGTTTTTTTTTAGAATATTTTAAAAATTTGAAAAAAATTTATTTAATCATGTACCGTTTTATATTGTTTATTGAAAACTAGTAAGTGATATATTTCAAGTATTAATAATAGAATTAATTTAAGTCATTTAGTATGTAAACCCATAATTCAAAACATAAATTCCATTTGTCTTTTTTTCCCATTTGTCTAAAACTAAATTCCCAGCCTCACTAAGGCAACATGTTCACTTGGGTATTCAAAATTTAGGTAGTTTCTTAGTGCAAAGAGTTTTTCAAATTGAAGGGAAAATTGTATGTTATGCATAGTGTCTGCAAAATCTGTGGGGCAAAGTTACACAATAATTAGTTGTTGTCTTCAGTACTGTATTATGTTATTCTATATTATGCTACATAATTTAACATATTAAGGGAAATTTCCAGATAATTTCAGGTGCCTGATCAGCAAAATTCTCTACTGTTTGAAATCGACGTCCCATGTGAATTTTTCTATTTCCTCTATTGTTTAAACCAGTTCGTTTCAACTCCAAACTGTCTTTGTAGCAGTTTTGACATCAACCATGGTGGCATATTTTATATGGTGGAATTTAAATTCTATGATATATTAGCGAGTATCTTTACTTGCAGTTACTCAATCTTCTTTGTCAGGTCATGCGAAATCTATACTGACACAGTTGAATTAACTGTTTTTCTCTTTTTTATTGAAATAAATGACAAAGGCATTCAATCACTTAAAAGGTTAAGGTTCAGAAATTCAGATGGGGAACGTGTTGTCTTAGAACAATGATTTGTACATTATTTGAGAGCTTTTACATCTTGTTTGTATTCTCGGAGCTCAACAGACAGTGAAATTTCACAAATGCTACTCTAATCTATTCTTAACATCTTACTTCAAAATTATTTGACTGACAAATCGAGACACTGATAGTGAGGTACCTTTTAAAATAACAGTACATCACTACATCTGGAATCTAATGGCTAGAGATGACCTTTCAAACTGATTGACTAGTTTTAGTGTATTTACGATTTCCAGGTTTCAGACTGAAATTGTAAAACTACTGTTGTTTCTTTGACATAAATATCATATTCATGTTCTTGTGATCTGTCTGAATAACAGTACCTCACAGTAAACTTCTGTGTGTGAAGGTCACTTTATAAACAGATATATATGGAAATACAGACAGACAGAACTGTTAAGAATGAATTGATAAAAATGTAAGAAAAAGTGTTTGTACATGTATTCAAGTACGTGGGAATTTTGTTTATGGAAATGTATATCTACATATCCATGTAGTATGCATGTCTGCACTGATATAATATGGTATAAGTGCAGATATGCACATAAAGCGGAAAGCATGCATACCCTTAAATGGGAATAACATATATATAGACACGTACATGTACACACACCGGCACACATATACATTTATATATATGTGTTTGCATTTGGATTTACGCATACGTGTATAAACATACAGATAAATGTATGTGTATATATTTCATCATCAAGCTCTTGAAGTTTTCGTATTTCGTATTTCTTCTTCAGTCAGACCTTTTTTCCTTTTCGGCATATTGCTAGAAAAATGTCAAAGTAATTCCTAAAAAAACTTATGAAAATATGCAATATTCTAAAGCAACTCAAGGCTCTGTTTACAATTTACAAACACAAACGCAGTTATCGGGAATTCTGTAGCTATGTAGCTACAAGAACTAAAAGGGAAAAATTGGGAAAAACCAGATTCTTAACACAAATACATTTGAAAGAGATAAGTGGTTAAAACCCCTGGGATGTCAAATTTGACATTTCACTCCACTCTTTCAGCCTGGAAAATGAGGGAAAAAGACATGGCCACTAGTGGACGACCCCGTCATTTCAAACAGAGGGCTCTATGGCCTCTATAGTTCAAAAGGTTAAGGAAACATTTTTTTGGATTTCATACTTCAAAGTGAAAAATAATTAATATGAAACACGTGTTTTTCAATTAAACTCTCCCTATCATATTTTTATTTATAAATTATTAATTACAAAATGAGGAAAAAATGTTTTTGAGATCTAAAGTGTTACAAATCAACAATTTAATTATTAGGTACAAATCACAGTCACAGAATTTAAACGAATTTTAATCTGAAATAAAGTTGCAAATATTTTCCTTAATTATTTAATGAACTTTTTCTTAAATGAATAATAAAATTATACAATGTAAGAATAGGTTTAAGTTTTTATTTATGAATCTACTTAGTGTTGAGGTATTCAAAATTAACTTAGCAAAACTTTCTACTTGAAGAATTCTATTGCAGTAGTTTTGACAATATCTTTAGAGGGGAAATTTTTAATATTAAGTGTAAAAATTCGAAGGAAATGTTTAAATCTCTAGTAAATTTACAATTTCTTTGAAGTTAAAACAACTGACAAAGTGGCAAGTACACAGTAAAACGTGAATCATAATTTTTTTGAATAAATATTTTTAATTTAACTGAATTTTCCTCTTGTAATAGAATTGCAAGTTCAGTTAATATTTGTGTTTAATGCAGATTATGCGTAGTCCTATATTTCTATTAATTAAATTTTGTGCCTTCCATTTGAGTTTTTCATTAATCAATTCAGTATTAAAACTGTTGAAACATCTTCAGTTCATGATTTTAATGGATTAGCACATGTTATTTAACTTAAACAACTATGCAATTTACTTTTTCTTTCCCAGGCCAACTGAGTTAGATGCTGTTGTTTTTGGTCATCTATTTGCAATTCTGACAACTCCTTTACCAGACAATCGTTTGTGTTCTATTTTACGAGAGTATCAGAATCTTGTAAATTTGTGTCATCATATTGATGTACAGTATTTCCAGAAACATGCTGATGAAGATGATGATATAGAAAATATAGAAATGGAAAGTTAGTTATTCTTATTTGATTAACAGTGTAGATTCATTGAATTTTTTATGTAGATCTGACAATTTGTTGCAGTTAGACTTTTTAATAAAAGTTTTGTTATATTAGTTGTACAAATGATACATTGCAGTATTATAAAGCATTTTGAGGCTTTGCACTTTGTTAAATATATTATTATTCTTTCAAACCTTTTTTAAACAATAAAGAGAGGGGAACTACATTTATATATATATGCATATACAGTCAAAAGTCAATTCGGACACCCATTATCCGGAATGATCTATAATCCGGATCTCAAAGCTAAAAACTTTCTTCGCATGCGCCACGTTGACACATGCTCACAGGCGTTTTACGCGTGCGCGTAAGACCATGACTACTGCGCATATGCGTATGCGCAAGTGCAGAATATGTTTTCACCTGCGCGTTTAATGTATAACGGATGGTGTAAGCTAAAATTATGTAATTATATATTTCAGTTAATGTTGATGATTGCGTTGTTCCTTAATCTTCGAATTGGATCCCGCTTATTATTTTTTGCAGACTGTAAGAGCAATTTTATAAAAGTAAACTTGAACTTTCGATTATGTCAAATAGAAATTCCGATGCTGGAACTTCCAAAGGATCTACAAAACGAAAGTATGTTTCAATATCCAACAAACAAAAAGTGGAATTTCTGCAAAAAATGGATAAAGACATGAAGAATGTGACAGAGAGGTTAGTGAAAACGAAAAAATTTCGATTGACAAGTTAGTCGGTATTCTCGGCACAGCAATTAACGGGACTTGAACAGCGGAACTTTGTAACTGAACAAGAAATTATGTCTGTTTATAGAATTAAAGAGAAAGTATTATCACATAAAACGAAGCAACTTAAACAACGTACATTGAAAGAAATACTAATTCAGAAGTCAAACAACAAAAATCAGCGTTATACCTACAAAACTTTCACAGGACTAGTTTCGATGGTTTTACCGAACCATCATCTTCAGCTGCAAAACCGCAAATGAACAAGATAGATCCCCCCTTCCTCCCTCCCTCCCTTCCCTTCTCCCCTCCCTTCCCCCTTCCCTTCTTTCCATCAATTAGCTATAAAGTTGCACATATTTTGCAGAAATTTAACTTTCGGGTTGTTTATTCTCCCATCAATAAAATTCCAACTTCTATACTCAAGGACCCCATTCCGGATATGAATTCCTGGGGTATTTATAGGATTCCTTGCCAGTGTGGTTTAATTTACATTGGCCAAACTAAGAGAGCCTTAAAATTTCGCGTCAAAGAACATGAGGCATATGTTAGAAAAAAGGAAACACAGAAGTCTTCTGTTGCTCAACATTGCTGGTCCGAAAATCACACTTTCAATTTTTCTGCTGCCAAAATTATTCAAAAAACATCTTCCATTGGAGAACTGGATTTTCTAGAGGCATTTCATATTCATAAAAATCTTTCTGTTCTAGTTAACGATCCTAATTCCAATCCAAATTTGCCTTCGGCTTTTAGAGAAATTATGTTTTAGTTCTGGTTTCGCCAATAGATGGCGCCACTTGCTTATTCTTGTTCAGGCTTTCTTATCTTATCTAATCATTATTTCCTATCTTGTTCATTTGCGGTTTTGCAGCTGAAGATGATGGTTCGGTAAAACCATCGAAACTAGTCCTGTGAAAGTTTTGTAGGTATAACGCTGATTTTTGTTGTTTGACTTCTGAATTAGTATTTATTCGGCGTGTTATTGTGTCTTAATTATTGAAAGAAATGTTTAATAAAGTAAACAAATAAATATTAAGCCTTTTTTTTTTTTTTATTTTGATACCCTTTAGATCATAATTGTTCTTTATTTCATAAATTACGGTTTCATATTTTTAATTTTAGAATTTCTGCATGCCATCTTACAAGATTTAAACTGATGATCTATAATCCGGAATCGAAGTCCCGACGAGTCCGGATTAACGACTTTTTGACTGTATATATTTTAAACAGTAAAGAGAGGGGGAACTACATATATATATTCAGAAAATTTTTTCTACTACCAAAGATTGCTAAATTTTGTTATTTTGTACCTCTAGCTTTCACCCTTATTATGCAGAAGACAAAAAGACCCATTGTAACTTAATTTGTGGTTACAATGTCCACAGAATAGTTGCCAGCAGTAATGTTATGCCTCCAGTTTTGTCTGAGTTAATGAAAATAAAATTTACATTATGAAGTATTATGCTGATTGAGAAAAACAATTGTCTTCTATAAATGGTCTTTGAACACTCTACCTAGAGTTTGCAACCCTATTTTTTCACAAAATTTATTCAAAAAATCATTTCAAAAATTTTTCACAAAAGTTAAAATTTGAAATTTTTTAATACTACATTGAGAGCAAAATTAAATGTATAAAATAATTAAATATTTTTGTTTTTGTTTTTACCTAAAATAGTATGAAATAATCACTTTTTATATGAACACTTTTTAAAAGTGTTTACACATAAAGTGTTTGTATTCAATGAAAACAAAGTAGCATATTTTCATTATTTGAAAATGTGGCTACTTTGTGTAAAGTAGAATATTTTCACTGCTTTTTTAATCTTTTATTTTCTTATTGAGTTTTCTGAATCCATGAAGTAATTGTTCTTTTAAGACCACTGTCTTGTACCATTATAAAATAATATAATAAAAAATAGATGACTGAGATTCTTTTCATCACTTGGAAAGGAATTCCAGAGTGAAGTGATTAGGGCTGGGGAGGATTTATGCTAAATCATTTCCTGCTATTTCTTTAGAAATGATTCTTGGAAATGTTCAGTTTTGAAATTCTAGCAGATATTGTCTAAAAAAAAGATTATGTGTTTAATTGTACTTTGTTTGCGTGTTTGATCCTAATATAGCACAATTTTTTATTCCTGTGAAGGAAATAGCAACTGAAAAGGAACTAACTTGAAGAAAATTTCTCTATTATTAGTAAAAAAATAGTATTACCCATTTAGTCATCCATACTTGTTATTTCATTCAGATATTGAAAGGAGAGACAAATTTTTATTTTATTTTTCTAAACCTCATGGTATACTTCTTTATAATATCTTTATTTTATAATAAAGCAGTTTTGCTTATCATAGAACAATCGTAATGTTTCAATAATATAAAAAAAGAGTACATGATAAGTGTGTTCATTCCAATATATTAAGCATTTAAAAATATCGAACAATGATATATGAAGTTCTTTATGTTGTGTATTTTAGAATAGGATTTGTGATTTGTAGTTCAATTTTGTTGTATTAGATAAAGGTGCTCAGTTTATATATGTAAAGTGAATTGAATAAATATCTTTTAATATACATGCAATGTCTATCTTTTAATGTTCTTATCTTTTAATATACTATAATTGCTCTTGTATTTTCTCCCATTTCCTTCTAATTTTACTGCCTGAAATTTCCTGAAATTTTACTGCCTGAAAATTGCCTGAAATTTTACTGCCATTTCCTTCTAATTTTACTCCCATTTCCTTCTAATTTTACTGACAGAAGGGGAAAACTAGGCACCATATATTATTTCTCTAGATATGCTTTAATTGATAAATGTAGAACTTAGATAGAACTTCATAAATATAGGAAAAACAAACACATAAGATGCACTAATATTATTAAATTATGCATTTCAAAGGACTTATCAATTTCAGTAATATTCTTTTCACATACACTGAATAATTTCCTGTTTTGTGCATATACTTTGCATTGGTAACATGAATTAGAAATTTCCTAATCCGCTGAAAAAACACGAGTAAAAAATATGTGAGTAAATATGATATATATATATATATATATATATATAAGATAAAAATATGTAAAGCTAACTTCTGATTTTAATTGGCAACATCACCTTTTATCCTTCATATAAATTTGGGTATTTCTACTTTCTGCCCTAAAAATAGTAACTATTTATAACATATCAATCTAAACTGTGTCATTTCAAATTAATCCACATCATGTTCTTACATATAACACTGCAATGCAGTTACGTTTTAGCCAGCCATGAATAAGATTTCAGTTGAAACCGAAACCTTTTTTAACTCTCTCATATGCTTCTTCATAATGCATTTCATTTTCACGCTTGCTTTTGTCTAGCATCCAGTTTATTAAGATGTGCTAAGCTTTCAAAAATGTGGTGTGCATATATATTGCACCCATAATAATGTGTGAATCAGAATATGCGTTCCAAGAATTATTTTACTCAAAAATAAAATGTTGTTATCTACAGCTATGTTTGTCTGCAAGTTTCATCCTTCTAATATGCTATTATGCATTTTGTATTCCAGCACCATCTACAGCCATCATCCATGATTAAAAATATTTGTCTTTTCTCAGCTACATCCTAAATTATTATACATATGAGGGGTAGATACAGCAGGGCTTGCAGGCTGTGTGTGGCTTTTGCAGGCGAGTGGTATGTCTCATCAATGTTCAAGCATAATTATTTTGTTTCATTTCTTGTTAGTTAAAAAATTTAATAATTTTATTAAAAATAAACAAATAAAAATATTGTACTGAAATCATTTGTAAAGAAAATCTTTAAAACTTAGATTTTTTGATGGATGCTTTACAGGAAAAATCCACTGAATTTCAGAATCAGTAGTAGAGTTAGAAATTAAATTTATGATGGTCTGTGAGTGGAACAGAAAATGCACGTAATGCATCAGAAACATTTAATACTATGCAGAATTTGATGCAAGTTGAAAATGATGTAGAAGTTGATTCGGCATTTGAACTGTAGTAGGTTGTTCCATTCTTATAAAAGGAACAGCTGTTTTTGTATTTAAATACAAAATAAAAATTTTTGGATTATATTTTAATATATTTTTTTAATAAAAACTATTTAATGAGCTTCAAACTACTACTTCCGGTTGTCTATTACACCATCATGGGCTTCCTATTAAGTATCATTTCCTTTCTCCAATTTTACCCAATTGTAATCAACTCTGTATATGAATGTACATAATGCCTAAATAGGAAAAACAATTGAGTTTTTGGAAATCTCGTATAAGAGATGGACGCAAAAAAATCATCATGCACACTCAGACAGAAACACATCATTGTAAAAATTGTAAACACTTGTACTAGGGTACCCTAATTCGAGTTTATTGAATAAAATCTCGGTGTCGAATTTTTGAACCAAAAACTTGACTTCCTTAGCCTATGTATATAGTTTGGCAGGAGGTTAAAATACTGAGTGCCCCTTTATCCCTTTAGAGGAGCCGTCAAATTTATGTGCATTTCTTGACCTCAAAATCTGGCTAGTGTAAACAGGCCTTTAATGGCTTCCAGTAAAGTACCACTTCCAGTTGTCTAGTTTTATTAAAAATTCAATTAACTCTTTATATGAATATAAAAAGCTTCTATACAGAAAACGGGCATTTTTGCAAGCTTCAAATGAGTTATCGTGGACAAAAAAGATTGTCATGCACAAACAGCCTTTCATCATTCTAAAAATAGGTAAAAACTTTTGAAGACCCTAATTCATTGTCATTCACTGAAAACTAACTATCGAATTTCTGGACCAAAAACATTACCTCCTTTTTACCAATGTACATAGTTTGGCAGGAGGTAAAAAGGGGTTGTAGAATGAAATTCATATTTTTTATTTCATGTTAAAAGTTTTCAGGAAGAATGTAAATATTTCTCCTTACATATTTGTTTATTTTATGTTATTTAAATGAACTAACATTTTGAATTTCATCATAATACTTATTTTATATTGTCTTAGTTATTAATAAGCATCACAGTTTTAGGTTATACATTAAATTATATGGACAGTTAAAATTTTTGAGGAAAAATTTACCATTTGAGTCAAATAATTTTCTGCAATTGAATTGTTATGTTATTTATCACAGTTGATATACAGTGGAACCTCTGGATATGAGTTTAATTCATTCCAGCATTGAGCTCGTATAGCGAATTTCTCATATCTAGAGATAAACTTCTCCATTGAAAATAATGGAAATGCAGTTAATCCGTTTCGCACCCCGAAAAATATCAACATAAAAATAAATTTTTCTAATAAATAACAGTGATAAATAATATAAGTGCGGTTTATGAAGAGTCCTGACTGGCGATAAGATTGTGGGGAAGACGAAACGGGTTGCTATGGGGATGGAGAGTCCCCCTTTGATTTAGGAGGCTTTCTCTTGGGAATTTTACCCTACTGGAAGCAGGTTCTGGGTCAGAATCCCTTAATTTTCTTTTATTTGCAGGTTGCTTCATCAGAAAGTGATGAAATTTGGAAAAAAGAGTCAGCAAACAGCAATAAGTGATCTTTATTTAAAAATGATGGTCAGAATACAGAGCGAGAACGGCGTCGGCTCAGTAGGACAAGTGACGGAGGACGGGACCACCACCCCTTTACTATTAAGTTAATTAGCATAGTGTCACGCCCGCCCTTATCTTGAGTATGACCCGTGATGCCTCATGGGTGGCTCGCACCGCGCGCCCAAACCCAACGCCTGGACCGTCCGGTTGGCAGTTCTACGAATCGAATGCCACCGGGTTGATGCTCATTCTTACTGCCCAGGTCCAGTATTCATTGAATAACCAAATAGTTAAGTAGTACATGGCCAAACTGGGCTGAAATATATTTGCTTGTAGCATACAATTTCCGAATTGGTGCATGCCTGTGTACAGATATTACAAATTACATACCTGTGTGTGTACACCTTACATTTTTGTACATAATACATTTCGATGCTTGTTAACAGTCACATGCTTATGAGAGTACAAATTACATAATACATTTAGATACTTGTAGCTGACACATGAGTATGATATTACAAATTACAATTAAATACATGACACGTTGGTATGCTTGTTACAGACAAATGGGCATGAGAAATGCTTTTATTGGCTGTCAGTGTGCTAGCATGTGCATAGTTTTACCCGGAGTTATGCTGCTGAATATCTGAGATTATTATTTATGTAGGACCACCGCGGACAGCGATGCACGAAGAAACACGTCTAGGTATAGAATCAATAAGAGTGCTGATGGTGTTCTGAGGGATGGCTATAGATTCCCTTTCAACCATTTGACACAGTTCGACTTCTGAACGAGGCAGGGACAGAGTCTGCAAACGGCGTTCAATCACATCTCACACATGTTCAATTGGTGACAGGTCAGGAGAGTACGGTGGCCAGGGAAGCATCTGTATACCTTGCAGAGCATGTTGGCAGATGCGAGCACTGTGTGGTCGGGCGTTATCCTGTTGAAAAATTGCATTAGGCAGCCCCTGAAAGTAGGGGATTGCCACCAGCCGCAGTGCATTATCCAAGTATCGTTGGGCCGTCATAGTGCCCTGAATACGAACTAGAGGTGACCTGGAATCGTAGGCAATAGCGCCCCAAACCATTATGCCACGTTGTCGCGCGGTGAGGCGTTGCACAGTTACTGCCGGTTTAGATCTGTCTCCACACCGACGCCACACGCGTATGAGGCGATTGTCACTAGATAAACAGAAGCGTGACTCATCTGAGAACACGACGTTTCGCCATTCTGTCATCCACATCGCTTCAGTCCGGCACCATTCTAAACGTTGGCGTCTGTGCTGTGGGGTCAATGGCAGTCTCCTTAACAGACGGCGTGAGTGCAGGTCACATTCAACCAATCGACGGGAAGTGGTTCTGGTCGACACGGGAACATCCAGGGTATCTTGCACATGCTGCAGAATCGCAGTACAAGTGACTCGCGGGACCGCCACAGCTTGTCGGCGGATGCGTCGATCCACGCGTGCTGACGTCACTCTGGCTGCACCTGCATCCCTCCTTCTTCCCACATTTCCTTATTCCAACCATGTTCGCCATAGCCGATGCACCGTGCTCTCATCCATGTGGATATCAGCTGCGATTTGACGTAAGGACCAACCCGCCCTTCTCAGTCCGATCACCATACCCTTCGTAAAATCGTCTGTCTGCTGGAAGGGCCTTCGTTGATGGCGGCCTGCCATTCTCTCCTATTACACGTATCCTCCAGGACAAAAACCAACTTTTTTCGATAATTCGTCTGGCAGAAATAACGACACGAATATTGCCCATTCTGCACGTTCCTTCCCTTATATCTTACTTCACGTGTGTCGGAGAGCTGCGCATTTCACATCATTCACGCAACTCAGTGACGTGCGTCTACTGTGAAATTTGCATAAATTTCTGACCCTCCTTCTTGGTGTTGCATTTTAAATGTCGAGCAGTGTAATAACACTTGCTTCTGTCTCCTTTTTAAGATGCCTCTAAAATGCGACACTACACTGTCATAACACTGATTCATGGTGCGCCTACACATTGCTTTATTAGGGTGATTTTCTTCAAAGAAAGTTTTCACTTCTTCCCATTTTGCAAAAACTTCTTTAAATCTTACTGTAAGAGAGGGCCTCATCTCCTGTTCTTTCCACCCCTAACGAAAGATCTACCACCTCTTGCTGCTGCTTCTTGTGAAGTTCTTTAACTTCGTCCGTTTGTTTTTAGTTCTTCACTATGCTCTTCCGCTAACTCATCCAGATCAGCACCATCCACATCCAGACTCATACTGTTCCCCAGAGGTACAATTTCTTCGACTAGTTGCACTGTGTTATCCACAGGTTGAGGATCAAAACATAAATTAGAAGTACTGTGAGGCCACGGTTTCCCCCCATGCTGAATTCAGGGTCCTCGCTGAGATGTTTTCTCAAGCCTTATCAATGAGGTTTAAACAATTTAGGATGTTGAAGTGATCCTTTCAAAATTGTCCGAGTTTCAGGCTTGTATTTGGAATCACTTCAAAGCACCTTTGAAACAAGTCCTTTGTGCACAGCGTTTTAAAGTTGAAAATACACTCTTTTGCAAAAAAAATCGACGCACCAAGAAGGACTTTTGCGATCGTGACGAAATTTGGTGTGCAAAAACATCTTGATCGAATATGCAAGCGATCAAAGTTTCAAGGCAAATGAACAGGAGTTGCGATCATAGCGCGCAATTCGCAAAGTATAAAACCATTAATAGAAGTGGAAGATTTATCTTTTTTGTTGCTGTCATTGTAATTCCGTAAAGAAACAACTAAAGATGCCATTACGACGATATCGAAGACCTTACAGACAACTAAACCACTTCGAACCTAGTCGCATTGTAGGGTCGCGTGAAACTGGGTGGTCATACTGAGCAATAGGCCACCACCTGTATCGTACAGACGCTGATATGCAAAGATGTTGGCAGCAATGGTTGCTACAAAGAAATGAAGGTTCTGGAAGG